ACACATTATTTTCCACATACTGTACATTATTGTTTCTCTTCTATGCCCCGCCTTTCTGAAACACGTCGATTTTTACTCAATCGCTCATCGGTCTGAAAAGTGGGGTTGTGCTCTGATTGGCCAGCTATCCAGTGCGTTGTGATTGGCCGAAGTGGACCAGTCTTAACTTTTATAAAGAATATCTCTTTGGGTTTGAGACTTTAGTCTTTGCAACTTTAGGGATCTTATATATTCACGTACAACTTGTAACACTCCAAAGAGAAAGGAAAACTTGAAATCGCATCATATGACCCCTTTAATAACATTTTTATATTTAAAGTGCAGTTTGTAATTTTTGCATCACTTGAATCACAAAACAGAACCTCAAAAATAACGATTGATTTTGAAGTACCTCTCTCCATCTTCCATTGGTTGGACAAAGAGATCCCACCCATCTGTTTCATTGTCAGGACCACTTTAACTTTCTCACGCCACTGTTGCTATGTTGGGCTGGTCGCAGTACTCAAACAAACAAGAAATGGTCTGAAAGAGCCACAGAACATCATATTTTAAAATTAAAAAAAAAAAAATGCACGGTTCAGCTTTGACTAGGACATGGCTGATTAATATATGTGTTGAATTTTTATGTATAACAGCAGATCCAAACACTGAGTCACCGCCTAGGGAACGATCACGAGAGCGAGACCGCGGCCGCTCCCACGAGAGGAAGCACCATTCATCCTCAGCGGCGGAAAGGAAGCAGCGATACTACTCTTGTGATCGCTACGGCAGCCATGAACAAGGCCACATTGTGTCCGCCGGGCCCAGCAGATCCACATCGCCAGGAGAACCCCATGACCCAAACAGGCTTAAGCAGGTCAGGTGGTTTCCCTCAGTCCCTCTAGCTTCCACACATGCTGTGTAGCAGTGACCTACTCTTTCTCTTCTCTCCATTGTGTTTCAGGGAATTAACACCGCTAAAGGAAGTTCAGTCATTCATACCTCAGGCACCAGCACACCCTGCCGTGGGCGTAGACAGCTCCCTCAGACGCCCCTTACGCCTCGGCCTGCTGTTGCCTACAAGACTGCCAACTCCTCTCCGGTCCAGCTCAACAGTGCCCAGTCTACAGGGCCCTGCCCCACTCGCCTTAGTCGTGGCCTGTCAGAGCACGATGCCCTACTCAGCGGTAGCACCCACCGCCAATCTCCCGTGCCTGTCACTCGTATCGGCTCTGACCCCAACTTGGGTCCCCTCCAGCAAGACTCAAACTTGTCTGAAGCGGATGACTTCCACGATGCCTTGAGTACGTACGGCACGGGCCGCTGCCCCAGGACTGCAGCCTCCATCGCCCACACATCATCAGGTGCGGCCCCCACTTCCACACTGCTCTCGCGCAGCCAGAGCGGAGTCCCCAACGGGTATCACTACTCCCTCGGCGTGAACGCAGCGCCTGGTTCAAGCGGCAGAGCATCTGGAAGCTATCAGGAAACTGAGAGAAATGACTGGTGTTAGCATGATTCAATCTAGCATGAGTTTTATCGTCTTTGCCCCGGGGGAGGAGGAAGCCGTGTTTTGGAGGGAAACAAGAGTTACGTCCGCAGTTTACACTATTTACAACTGTTTACCATCAGCTTGAGCCTATATGGTTTTATAAAGATGTTCTTCTCCTGTTTAGAAAGTAGCAGACGTCCTTGTGACTTGTTTACGAAAGTTGTGGCAAGATGGAAAGCGCTTGGAGGTCTTGATAGTTTTCAAACTGAATAGTTTAGCCTCAAGTGACACTCCCCACCTCTTTTAATTTCATTAGGGCTGATTCCACAAGGGTCACATGCAAGGAGATGATCACATCAGCTGTGCCTGTGATCAAGACCTCAGACCTCAGAGAGGAAGACGCCCAAAAACACAAGCTATGGTGAAAACAGTTGTGTGGAAAAAGTGAGACATTTAGTTGTTGAGATTTGAGAGGTTCTTTAGACTCTTTGCACAGCACACAATGACTGAAAAGTTATTTCTAGGGATTTTGGCAGTGTGTCCACCAAAACATTTTTTTTGTTGTTGTTCCTAAAGCCAGCGTATATTTTTAATTGTTTGCAATGGGAGCACCACATACTAGTGTGACGTGGTCGCAAGCGTCTGTTCCATGCTCAGCGTTTCACTGCTGTTTTTTTTCTGGTCGTTGAGAGTTGAACAGTGTTCATCTTTGGGTAAAATGTCGCACTCGTCACTGCCACTTTTTACCTAACCGTACATTTGCATTGGAGGAGGGGTGGGACAAATACCACACTGATCAACCATCACATTCTACTTGTACAATGATTGAATAACCATCGTCTGACACCTTCGTATTGCAACATTAATGTGAAAAAAAAAAATGCTTGAAGGAACATTTAGTTCGTCATGGGTCTACCAGGGAAACAGCTAAACGCTGTGCCTCTAAAGCGGCTGGCATATTTGTTGGCTAAAAACTCTTTGGTGGACACACAACCTAAAGGTTTGCGCTGCTGAAATTCTACTTCTTTCTCTAGCATGAGTGGAATAGTTGGTCTGCTCCCACCTACTGAAAAAAGGCCAAATTGAACGCACTTTTCTATCAGACTGCAGTAGATTGAATATCATTTCACAGTGTTCCATTTTGTACCTTGTAAATGATCTGAGTATAGCTGGACATTATGTAAGGTCTAATCATTTTCTTACTCTCTTGAGGTAAGATACCAAGTGCCTAAACTTTGAGATTTTATTGCCACATTGGTGCGTGATGCATTAAGAAGCATTTGGCGTAAGAGAGGCAATGAACAGTTGCTGTATGCTGTAGGTTAAATGTCACTGATATTTTTTTCTTAGATATACTTGAGCATGTATTTGAGGAAAGAAATTGCACAAAACAAAGACTGTAGCATTGTAAAGTTCAGGTGGATGTTGATGATGTTGGTCTATTCAGAGTGTGTTATTGAAATGATTCAGGGGAAAGTAGATGATATATTAAAAATGCTAATGCAGTTGAGTTATAGAAGACTGAAAGGTTGTATTTGTTGGTTGCTGTTGGTGTCAGTGTTGTTTCCAGAGGGCATATTATGAGCTCAGACCTTTCTCTTTCAGTAATTGATTAAAAGAGGAAGAAGTTGAGACAGATTGAAGCACTTAGTCAACTTTCTCTTGTATCTGTTATTCACCACACAAAAAGATTCAGAGCTACCAATGTGAAATAAAGAATGTTGTTTTCTCTCAATTAGTGAGATACTGTAATGTTTTGGATGATAGTTAACAAATCAAGGTTAATTTATTCAGAATATGTATTTTACTCTGTTTCTTCCCATGTTTTTAATTTGTCGACAGTATCTTTTCTGTCTGAAGGGTTTATTACATGTTGGTATTTTTAGGGTGAGCGCAGTAGAGCGCAACAGTGGCTGTCTGCTTTTTCAGCAGCCTTGGTTAAGGAAGTATTTTATTTTCATTGTCTTCATGGGAATTTCAAGCAAAAATGTAATTGAAGCAAAAAAGTATACGAAAATTTGGGGGAACTAACTTTCTGATTTACAGTATAAAGCTACTGGGAGAAAAAAAATAAATAAATGAAACATCTTACGCGATTTTCATGATTGGCAAATCTCTTTACAGGATTATGAGTGGTACAGTAGTTCTTTACAGGAATTTTTGCTTAAGAATCTCAACACTTATAATGAGTAATTTAAAAGTTACATTGGACTTCTCTGTGGAGAAAATTTATGGAATTTTTTACCTGTGGAACCTGACTGTTGTGCTCTTAAATATCTAAGTGCAGGGAAATGTTGACTGCTGAAGTACAGTAGGGCTATATGCAACAAAATGACATTTAAAAAAATAAATGACTCCTCATCCTGTAGCTTTACCTGCACTCAACACAATCTAGCTTTAGCACCAATGGGACCAATTTACCACTTCACAGAGATCTTTATATATACAGGATGTGTGGCTCACCTAAAAATGCCAAATTTTAATGCAGATGCATTGATGATTGTGCTTGATATTGATGTGCCCTCTGAAAGTACAACAATTAATATAGTGGTATTTGTAGTGGTTGCACACTATAGGTGGGAAATTGATGTTGTGTTACGCAACTTGTCACTAAAAGGATGGTTATGTAAAGACTTGATTTCTTTATTTTTTTACAGTATGTGATGTCCTAGTGAACTGCCTTTGGCCACCATTTCCGTTTTGGGATGGAGATGAGTGTTGTGAACCCAATAGATCTTTGACTTCCCTTTATTTAGACATGCTGACCTGTGTTTGCATGTTATGATGACATATGTGCATGTAGGAAATTGTACACCTTCATCCATGTTTTTCTATGAGGAGTAAATTAATTGGCTGTTGATATTTTTTTTTAAAGAAACAATCTTTGATACACTTACTTAGCCCTGGGTTTCTGGGAGAAAATTAGAAGACACTTCACTTCTCAGTTTGTTGTAAAAGAGTTGTTGAAAACAATAGAGTGATGCATGCACAGAGAAAACTGCCTCACTCCTGTGATCTGATGATCGTTCTATAATGCCATATATTTCAGCCCATCGACTCTTGACAGTCTTATCATTTCTACCATTTGCATTTTGTATGAAAAAGCATCACTGAACTGAGAGATATATGGAAATAAAGCTTGGAAAAAATTGCCTTAATTCAATCTTTTATATACAGTTTAAGTTTTAATTTGGTAATGAAATGTTTGTGTCATGGACAAAGCTGAACCTATGAAATGCAAATGTCTAAATAGTTTTGCTCCCACAGAAAAAAAAACTTTTTCAATAATTAAAATTGTAACATTTAAATAAAAATGAATTGTCTACATTTTTAAATTACTATTCTTAAAAAAATATTATAAAATATTAAAAACAATTATTAAATATTAATATATTAATACAATTATTTCATTTTTTACATTTACCTGTACATAGCAGACTCGTTTATCTAGTCACTTATAAATGAAAAAATCACAAGTAATTTAATAATTCATAAAACACAATTCTAAATTTTAACTAGATTTGTACACAAGCTAAAGCGCAAGTACAACGCAGAAAATGTTTGCACTAAAACATTAAAACGTTAGCCAAACGTTAATAGAACGTTCATTCAGAGTTATGTGGTCTTTAATAATGTTACGAAAACATTAACACACACACACACACACACACACACACACACACACACACACACATACTGTAAATGTATGACATATATGTAATATATATTACAATATATGCTATTTATATAATGATTAGGGACGTATTACTGTGTTTAATTTTTATTTTATGTTTAATGTTTAATTTACTATATTTAATTTTTAATCTCATTAATTATTTATTTCATAATTAGTACTTTGATCCAGCACAGTCCTCCTCAGCCATTCTCATGCACTGATATGTTAATGAGCCTTGAGATACTGCTTCTCATTGGCCTGTGGCGAGGGTGTGGGCGGAGCCCCTCGAGCAAATACTGTACAGATGAAGGTGTCTAGCGGCAAGCGCGCGGTGTTCGCAAGGTGAGCAGAGTACGCCAAACATCAACGGTAGACACGCGCCACTCCATTATTATTGTCCTCAGACCATTCTCATTACCACCTAAACTATTCAAATGCGATGAACAATCACAGTGTTTGTCGTGCGGCCTTATAAATTAGGCAAACATGATGCTTTCGCCAGTACTGTGGACAGCTGTTTTATTTACTTTCGTAAAAGCCAGCATCATGCACAGCGGTGCAACTGAAACACCAGATATGGAGAGCGGCTCGGGGATGCTGCTGACAGGTAAGACATCAAAATGTAATTAATTATTATATTTAATTTGTACCCAATAGAGTATAATGTTCGTTTGTTTACATTTCTTGAGAATAGCGCATTACAAGGTGTCTGACAGGCCATTATTGTCGCAAATTTGCATGATTAAATAACTTTATAAATAATAATTTCATTAATAAATTTCACTTTTATATTAAATGTTTAATCTAAGATGTGAGCTCAAAATAAGTGATGGAAATATACACTTTCTCTCATACATATTAACCTGTTTTGATGTTGGAAGTTCATTTATATAAATGTTGTTTTATCCATATGTTTGATGTTCAGTGTTTCCCTCTGGGAGCCGCTGTTGTTTCAAGTTTTACTGTATAAAGGAGCAGGTGCAGGTACTTCAGCAATGAACTATTTTGACACCCCGCCTATTTAAATCACACTACTGCTGTTTTTCTAAACATGAGGGCTGAACTAGTATGAACACTGGACAGTGATTGCTGCATGAAGCACCTCAGCCGTTCTTGCTGTTTTGTCCAAACACATGTTTAACAGCTTTGTGGCAGATGTGAGGGCAATTAGTTCCAGCAATCTTGGGAGAAGGTAGAGGATGCCAGCATCTCCACAAACAAATGTATATTGGCCTGAATTCATTTCTAAATTCTGTAAATTTGCCAAAAGGGTCATTTGCGTGCATAATGCACAAACAGATGGATTTGGCAAATAATGCTTATGTTTAATCTGATGTTCTTTGACTTCTGCAATTAAATTGTGTTTATGCTTGATTTGTACAATGGGAGCATGTTTAATCAAAACTGGCAAACTTGCAATGTCCCCCAGGGCTTTGTCAGCAAACGTTGCAAAATAATCAGTCTTTTGCTTTCTCTATAGCGACTAGAAAAAATAGCTTTGCTTTTTTTTTTTTTTTTTTTGCCATGCCCAGATTTTTATAGTATTGCCATTAAAGGATGCACGATATATTGATATCAATTCGATATCAATTTGATGTTGAATATATGTCAAACAGTGCTGCATACAAATTTATGCATGTTATGAATTCCCCTTCACTTGTAGCATTTAAAACGATTGATTTCAGTTTAATTGATCTGGGTTTTTTTTTTTTTTTAGATACAATGATATAGAATTTTTATTTATTTATTTGTTTGTTTGTTTGTTATTTTAATTATAGTATACATTTTTATTTTTTTAAATAAATACATTTTGTCATTTAATTGTAATTCTAATTAATAGAATTTTAATATTGGTTACCGGCTGAAACAAATTAATTATCGGCTAATTGGTATTTACCAGAAAATGAATTTGTGACCATTTCGAAATAATAATAAAAATGAGATATATATATATATATATATATACAGTGGGTACGGAAAGTATTCAGACCCCCTTAAATTTTTCACTCTTTGTTATATTGCAGCCATTTGCTAAAATCATTTAAGTTAATTTTTTTTCCTCATTAATGTACACACAGCACCCCATATTGACAGAAAAACACAGAATTGTTGACATTTTTGCAGATTTATT